GGCACCTTCCCCCTCTCCTTGCTTCTGCTCTGGCCACGTGACATGCCTGCTTTCCTGCTTTCCTTTTGCCTTCTGCCATGATCGTAAACTTTCTGAGGACTTCCCAGAAGTCAAGCTGATGCTAGCATCATTGCTTCCTGTAAAGTCTGCAGAGCTATGAACCTCTTTGCTTTATGAATTATCCAGTCTCAGGTATTTCTTTATATTGGGAAAGGAAAATAAACCTTGAGGCCCCCAAATCACTAAGTTAAATGGAAAAGTCAAGCTGGGAACTATTTAGAGCAAACCTGCCTCCCATTCTATTCAAAGTCACCCCTATGCTCACTGAGATAGGTGTATATCTGATTGCCTCCTTTGGAAAGGCTAATCAGAAACTCAAGAGAATGCAACCATTCATTTGTCTCTCACCTATCTGTGACCGGGAAGCCCCTTCCGCTTCCTGCCTTTGCTTCTAGTTGTCCCGCCTTTCCAGACAAAACCAATGTGCTTCTTACGTCTACTGATTGATGCTTCATGTCTCCCTAAAATGTATAAAACTAAGCTGTGCCCCAGCCACTTTGGCCACATGTCATCAGGATTTCCTGAGGCTGTGCCACAGGCTCATCTTCAACCTTGGCAAAATAAACTTTCTAAATTAACTGAGACCTGTCTCAGATTTTCGGGGTTCACAGTAGCAAGGCAAGAAGGGACTAACACAACACTGCAGAAAAAGTTTTATGAAACACACTTACCTTTACTACCAGTGATACATTCTGATATTATATATTCTGTTCTATTTCATTTTTAAAAAGTGTTTGTCTGTACTCACTAAGTTGATATCATGGATAGTTGTTGTGACCACCAAAAACACTTCCTTCACCCACAGCAGAAACTCTGGTGGTCATGTGATAAACTTGTCAAAAAGCCCTTGAGGGTAATTAGAGTCATACTTAAACCTGAATAAAATGACAGCCAACACCAACTAAAAGAGGTTCTGTCTTTGTCAATTTGCATACATTTTTTCCCCTAAAAAATGAAGAGTGACTAAGAATATATGAATGTTGACACCTAATGTGTCCCTAGTAATTTTAGGGGATCTTTCTGAAATGACAAAAGCGTTTAAGAAACATCATTATAGTTATTTCTGAAAGTAAAGACGTTTCCTGCAAAAGCTATTTGAGTCCCAGAGCCAATTTATTGATTGGTTTTATGTTTGACTTTTTAGAGCCCATTAAATATATCTATTTGGTTATTCATTTGGCAGCCATGCTACTTCTTCGTGAGTTGGGAATGGCAGATTATCTATAAGAACCATTTTTATACTATGGATTGTGGTAAAAATGTGTTAGCTTTCTTGTTGATAACTACTTGTTATCAGCTAGAACCACTTTTACAGCCTGTACCATATGAAGGCTGCACATATAAAGTCCATAGCATGTTTGAAAGTCACGTGATATCTAGAAAAGCCCTGTATAAACTGGAAAGCATTATGTAAACACAAAATATTATTTTTATGCATTTTTTTAAAGTAATAAACTCTTGCCTGAGAAGTCAGCCATCCCCATGGTTAGAACATGTCTCCCAAAGTTCATGTGTTGGAAACTTAATTGCCATCGTAACAATATTAACAAGTGGGGCCTTTAAGAAGCGATTAGGTCATGAGGGCTTTGTCCTCATGAATGGACTAATGTTGTTATCGTGGGAATGGGTTAGTTGTAGTGAGCCCCCTTCTCCTTTTTGCTTCATGCGCGCCTTTCTGCCATCCATTCTTTTGCCATGGAGTGACTCCTGCCAGAAGCCAGTACTATGCTCTCAGCCTTCCTGGTCTTCAGAACCATGAACAGAATAAATTTCTTTTTTAAATAAATTACCTGTCTCTGGTATTCTGCTATAACAGCAGAAAATTGACTAAGGCCTTCATGAATTTTGAAAGCCAATGAATTTTAATGTTTTTACTAATGGTACTGAGTTCTATAAATGTTTTTCCCCACCCTCTAATTGATACACATGCATGCACACACACACACACACACATATGCACATACACATTAGACTTTTAAGCCTATGTTCAATACAATACAGGCTGGTTGCTAATTTACAAACCCCATTTTCTCTTTTATAAGATATATGAGGAAGTAGGTTTTCTTCTCTATATAGTTATAGTTGTGGTGTGATGTGCCCAGAATTATTATGAGAGATGTTAAATGGTACAGTATAGCTTTAGTAGTTAAGGCAAGGTTTTGGAGACAGAAAGACTCCAAATGCAATTTTACATTTAACAAGCTCTGTGAATTTGGGTGAGTTACTTAACCTTCTAAGCTCTGATGTTCCTCATCTGTCAGATGGGGATAATATAATTCACCTCACAAAGATGTTATAGAATTGAATTTATCTCTACTCATTAAATTCATTTCATCATTTACCAATGGGTCATGACCACCAAAAACACAGGCTTAACCCCCAGAAGAAATTCTGACATTAAGAATCATGGAGCCAGGTGCAGTGGTGCATGTCTGTAGTTCCAGATACTCAGGAGACTACGGCAGGAGGATCGCTTGATCCCAGGAGGTGGAGGCTGCAGTGAGTAATGGTTGTGCCACTGCACTCCAGCCTGGGCAACACAGTGAGACCCTGTCTCTAAAAACAGGAAAAGAAAAAGAAACAAAGCTGATTTAAAACATTGTGGGCATATTACAAACCTTCAATGTATGTGCGTGTAAAGTACTTAGGACTTAGCACAGCACACTTAGCATTTAGCACATAATACCTAGCAATAGTTTAATGAATGGTAGCTTAACAACAATAACTAATGATAATTGTGACATGTTTATTTCATCACACCTTCATTGTGAATAAATGTAGAGATCTAGGACATGGTACCTCTTGCTTTCCCTTTGGTGCTGAAGCTTCACTCCACTGCTTCCCAAATCTATATTTCCACCTAGAAATGGGTCATGGTTGCTGAATTGTAGAATAATAATACTGCAAAATTGCTAAAACTCTGAGGGGTGTGTGTGTGGGGGGGGGATTGGGAGAGGGAAACGGTACTTGTCTCTTTTTTCTTGCTAAAGACACTTCCTTAAAAATAAATACACTGGAAAATAATGACAGGAAACTTTACAAAATTAAAAGAGGATGTCAGGAAGTACAGGATGTGAGGCTGTTTTCATTTCTGTCAGTATTTTCTTATTCATATATATTTATAACTTTAAAAAGCATAGAAGTTCACTATTTCTTCTCCTTAAGATCAAGTCTATATATATAAAAAAAAACTGTGACCAAAAAAACCCCACTTAATACTTTCCATATTATACTTTCCAGCTGCAATTAAGTATCTGATCTGACTACATTATTGGGCAACTGAATAGAATACTTGTCACACTCATTCTCTATTTCTAAAAAATGTTGCAGGCCAGGCACAATGACTGACATCTGTAATCCCAGCAATTTGGGAGGCCGAGGTGGGACGATTGCTTGAAGCCAGAAGTTAGAGACCAGTCTGGACAATAGAGTAAGACCCCATCTCTACAAAAATATTTGTTTAAAAATTAACAACAACAACAGCAACAATAACAACAAAAAGGTTGCATTCTCAGACAGTTCATACCAATCTGGGAAGGATATGAAAGTAAAATACCTTGAAGCAGCAATGGATAAGAAAAGTTTGGTCTTTTTAAAAAAAAGTTTTTTTTGATTATTACTTCTTTCCCAGAAGACAACTTTCAAACATAGGAAACTAGGCAAATCAACGAATGCTCAAAACTGAAAACCCACTTCCCCCTTTAAGACTGGAGGGTACAGAAATATCAGTACTTTCAATGCTTTAGCAGTCATGTGAATGGTGAGCATTCTATGTTTTTCCATATGCACAGCAAATGAGCACGCTGCTTGCAACTTTTTCTCCATGAAATGGGGATCTGCATCCCACAGTGGTTACTGAGCAGTACGTTTCCTCTCCAACATTGAAATAGTTTATCTGCAAACAAATTTCTAAAGTTCCTATTTGGCTGGAAGCCAAAATAAACCAAAAATGTTTTGCTGTCCTCTGCTTTGCTGAACAGATGGATGTAAAAGGTTGTAGGTGGGCTTCTCTTTATTGCTGTACTTGACTTATTAACACCTTGAGACTCGAAGAATAAAGTGTACTTCATCTTGTAAAAGTTTATGATCTAAGTCAAACAATTCAAAAGGTCATAATTTAGCTGCATTTAAGGAGCTTTAATTCAAAGAGACAGGAAGTTGCTTCATATTAAAAGTAGCCTCTTCTTTACTTCTTAATAAAATTCCCTATGAAAATATTTGTGGCAGACATATGTTATTTTCATCATTCCTTCCTTGGGGAAACCACTATTCCCTGCTTCCACACGGTTTCAGAGAGGCTGCCAATCACTGTACCCTACCCCCACTCCAGCCACACTGGGAGCATAGAAGACAGGCCTGCCCAACCCAAAAATTATCTGTTCCTAAAATTAAAATACTGATGTTGAGATAGATGTATTTCTTTCCCCGGGGATGCTAAGCTAGGGCAAGAGATCCCAGAGCTACCAGCTGCCATCTTCATCACCCTGCATGGAGGAGGTAGAGCAGGTCCAGCCACAGAAGGAGAAAATGGCAGAGACAGAGGAGCAAAAGGAGAAGGAAGAGGAAGAGGAAAAGAGGGAGAATGGGGAGGAAGGAAAGAGGAAAAAGAAGGCAAAGAGCAGAAGGGGTAGGAAGAAGAAAATAAGTGTAATCTAACCTCCACAGAGCTATAATTGAAGCCAGCTGATTCCTGAACTTCCTAGATACCTGACTCAACCAATTTCCTTCTCCATTCAAATTAGTTTTAAGAATTCTGCAATGGAAACAGGAGGAACTAACAAAGTAGCTGGTGTTCATTCATTCATTCAGCAAATATTTACTGCATGCCTACTATATTCCATGCACTAAACAGGCATAGAGTCGTGATGCGCAACATACGGTCCTTGCCCTCATTGAGCTTACAGCCCAGTTAGGGAAAAAAATATCACACACACACACGCTCAATTTTTTATGTTATCAGGAAAAGAGTAGAGTACTGTGAAATAGCATTAGAAGAGAATTAGGAAGCTATGTTTACAGTATCACTAGAATAATCACATTTAAAAAAACGGAATGCATGCATGGTGGTTTGGGAGTCCAGGTCTAAAAATCTGAGAGATGAGGCAGCATGGGAGAAGTAGAGAAAACGTCCTTCATGGTTAGGAGACCAGGATTCTCATCCTAGCTCCATGAAAAACTGCAGAGGTTTTCCTCATCAGCAAAGCGGTAATACCTGTCTTTCATTATTTCTCCAGGGTTATAATGAAAATCAAATGATCAAATACACCTGATTCACATTTGAAACGAAGAGTACAGTATACGGTACTGTGGTAGGATACCAGGGTGCATGTGGTAGGAAGACTAACAGGACAACTGGGTGTACCCAGTTCAGAAGCCTGGGCACGTCCCACAGTCAGGGAGGAACTGAAGAGGAAGGCTGATGGCACACTAATGGTGGATGAGAGAACTGCTTTGCATATACAAAGGACATACAACACACTCCTTATTTACTTATTTATTTTATCCTTTGGCGTGTTAATGAGTACATTTTATATGAGATGACAGCTCTCAGTGATGTTTAAGACAATAATTTTTAAAAACCACCTAAGGTATTTTTACTTTTTATTTCCCACATGGCTTTTGTGCCTTCTTTACAAGACATTTTAGGTCATTTTTAAACCAAAAAACAAAGACGACACCCTCATTTCTCTAACTTTCGGAAATCCAATTATAAAAATAATACACTAATATTGTGAGATATTCAAATAGCATAGAAGGCTATATAGCGAAAAGTCCCTCTCATGGTCACCCCTACTCTCCTTGCCCAGAGACAACTAATCTTAACAGTTTTCTCAATTCTTTCACAAATTTATCTACATAGTGAAACTGAGTCTTGAAAACTGAGTAGTAGTAGCCATTCGGCCACTCACAAAGGGAAGGGTTTATTAAATTATATTAGAAAGTATTAATTGGCATGCCAGTGAATGGGCACAGCAACTGGGTATTTAATGGCCAGCTCCAAACAGAAAGCCTTGGCTGTGCAGCACCCATCTGTGGGTGCTATGGTTTGAATCTGCGTCTTTGCCCAAATTTCATGTCGAACTGTAATTCCCATTGTTGAAGATGGAGCCTGGTAGGAGGTGATTGGATCACGGAGCTGGTTTCTCATGGTTTAACACCATCCTCCTTGGTGCTGTTATGGAGATAGTGAGTTCTCATGAGATCTGGCTGTTTCAAAGTGTGTAGCACCTCTCCCGCTTCCTGCTGCTCCTGGCGTGAAGTGCTGGTTCCCCCTTCACCTTCTGCCATGATGGTAGTTTTCCTGAGGCCTGAGCAGATGCCGCCGTACTTCCTATACAGCCTGTGGAACGTGGGCCAATTAAATCTCTTTTATTTATAAATCACCCAGTGTCAAAAAATAAATAAATTACCCAGTGTCAGGTATTTCTTATAACAGTGCGAGGATGGACAAATACAATGGCCAAGCTTACCCTGAGGACAGTTAGGATGGTGTTTTTTGGTTTATAGCTGGGCCCAAGGTCAAATAGCTGGTACCCTTTCAAAACCCACAAATCATCCTCACTTACAATCTTGTGTTTGTTCTTTGTTCCATTGTTAAAATCATTTTGCTTCCATCTCTGTATCACAACTGGGTATTGAGGATGTTCATTTGGCAGGTAGAGGCCCTAATCAAAAGGTCCTAAATAATAGCTTCATGGATATCTTGTTATTAAACAATGAAACTGCTCCAATGAGAAAGCCTGCATTATAAAACCATATGGCTTTACACCTACTCACTGCTGTCCAAGGGGGAACCTATGCTATCATAAAAACTGAGTGTCTATCATCCAGATAACATTACTAAATTAATGGCTGATATAAAAACCCAACTAACCTTTCAGATCCAACACTCTAAATGATCAGCTAAGCAGCTGGTTTGGATCATGGGGAATTTGGTGGCAGAAATTGGTACTTATTCTTGGAAACATAATCATTTGTTCGGTTTTGTCCTGTTTTTGTCTTTATTGCTGCTGTGGCATTTGTTCACAATGAAGTCAATGCAGAGCTGAAAACAGTGAAATAACGGTTGGTCACAGAATTGCATTGACTGCAGCCACGTAGCCTGACTCAGGTCACAGAGTCACTTCCTTCATGTTGCATTAAATTTGACCAGGCCGGGTGCAGTGGCTCACACCTGTAATCCCAGCACTTTGGGAGACCGAGGGGGGCAGATCACGAGGTCAGGAGCTTAAGACCAGCCTGGTCAACATGGTGAAACTCCATCTCTCTAAAAATACAAAAAGTAGGCGTGGTAGTGCGCACCTGTACTCCTAGCTACTTGGGAGGTTGAGGCAGAAGAATTGCTTAAACCCAGGAGGCAGAGATTGCAGTTAGCTGAGATAGCGCCACTGCACTCTAGCCTGGGCAACAGAGCAAGACTCTGTCTCAAAAAAAATTGGCCAGTATCCCATCAGCTTTATAGCTTGACTTATTTCCCCTGCTGTGGGACTCGACACTGTAGGAATGAGGCTTCCTAGTGATGCAGAACTAAACTCCTGAATATGAAAGGAGCCCAGAACCTGTTGAGTACATCTACTATGCTTTACTCAAAATATCTTAATGAAAATGGAGAAATGTGAAATTAAATAATTCAAATTTAAAGCTGTTAGAATTTTCAAGTATTCCAGCCTTGAGAGGAATGTGGCTATGTGGCCTGAGTCACTTGATGTGCAGCTGCAACTTCTGCCTTTTTTTTCCCCTATAAATCATTAAGAAGACTAGATGGCACCAGAGATAAGACCCCCCCACCCCCAAGATCACTACCTCTCCTCATAGAATGAAGCAAATGTAGCATTTTGTAACCAATCAAATCCCTGCAATGTATGCACTTGGCTTGTATGGAAAATGTTGTAATTCTGCTAAAATTTCTGTCTCTGCTTATGTAAGTGAAACATTAACTTTTCCTCTTTGAAACACTGACGCCATTTGTTTGGAGTAAGTGTTTCCTGGTGGCAAGCTTTGTGCTTGAATAAGCTCTATACTTAATCATATGTTCTGAATCTCATTACATAAAGTTGACAGGTTGTTTCTACAAGTGGAGGAACAACATGAGCACGCACTGTCATGATGATTGATTTCTAGTCCACAAGTATACAGTCTTCAAATTAAGTATAATTTGGCCTGAAATCACATTGTCCATTAGCAAAATATTCCATTGTATTCATTTGAGGAGCTTTCTCTCCTCCATGGGTCAAAATAAGCATCCCAGGATTATGCTCATCCCCAAAAATAGGATAGAGGTGTGAGTTTGTTTAATTGGCTACTTGCTGCTCCCTGACACAGGTCCCTGTCCTCTTCCATGTGGACTGTGTGCCCTGGGTAGGCTCAGCTGTCCTCTCTACTGATCACAGGCTGACTGTGCCTCCATCTGCAGCAGCACACCATAGAATTATCTTCCACTGGTCTCATAGCTTCAGCCTTAAACTGGAAAGAACCTTTCCTTACTTCCCTCACTATCTGGAAGATCCCACAATGCTGGCCTTTTCTGAAGAAAGATGCTCATCTTTTTTTTTTAATTCCTTCATAGTTCTCCTTTTTATAAAAGGAAGGCAAAGAGGCATTAAACAGCATGACTCACTGGGAAAACTAGTACTTCAGCCAGACAGAAGGGTTCACTGGAGGATGGGAAGTTCAGAAGAATATGGCTGGGGGGATGAACACCTCATTAGAAGGGTTTATAGGGTATTAGAATAATTTTGTATTTATCTAGGCATTGAGGAGACCAGGGTGATTGAAGGCTTTACACAGAACAGTAGCAAAATTACATTTTCATTTGAAAAGGAAACTCTGATGCTGGTACGGAGAGTGGTTGGAGGGAAGCAAGGCTGTAAACAGTGATACCAGTTAGGAGACCATGGCAGTAGTTCAAGAAACAGATGTTGTGAGCCTAGTGCCTTAATCCTCTCCTGAATCAGAGAGTCTCCTTTCCACTGGCCTATGACTAGGACCATAGGCCAATCTCCAACTATAAAAGACAAAAAGCCCTGGTACAAACATTTCTAGGCTTGCTTGCATCTTGAGTTAAGACTTAATAAGATGATATTACAATTCATTCTGGCAGTGTTGGCAGAGGCAACAGCAGCAATGATGCTCTACGGGCCTGACTCAGGGCCAGCAGTGACAGCAGCCCAAGGTAAGTATATCCAGGGGCTGCTGGTGGCAGCAGCAGTGTCTTTGATGCAGTGGTTCAACATCTTGTATTTGACTCTGGTTCTGGTTACCTGAACTTCCTTTGCTCTTGCCCATTTTCTGAGCTCGAGTCTTCAGATCTCTAATTTATTTTCATCGGACCTTTAAAATAATCCTCTGAGGAAGTAAGACAGGTGTTATTATTTTCACTAAGATGAGGGAAATGAAACTACGAGGTTAGGTTACTTGCTTAAGAGCAAAAGCTAGTAAGTGGAACACACAGGTTTGGATCCAATCAAATCTTTGTGATGGGCTCAGTACTCTTTACACTCCCTACTTGCTTACCAAACTTGGTAGCTCCTAATTTCTGGCATATATAGCAAAATGAAGGGAAGGGCTAGAAGCTATTGCTTACACTTTGCACAGGCTCTAAAGTTATGTAGAAGTCTTATTAAAATTAAGTTATTTAAAACAATATATAATGGGCTACAATGCAAGATCTAGGTATAATTAGTAATTTAAATAAATTTTACCTTTGTAGGAGGTGAGCATCTAGATTCTCCAGGAATACAAAATCATTAATCTTTGTAATGTGCACCTTGGTCAAAACATATGAGAAGTCCTGAAATGAAACATTAGCCAATCCTTAGGCTAGTGTTGCAATTAGCTAAATATCCCCATTTAATTTAGTAAACCCCATATTTAACCCCCCATATCTGATTTATGAGTGTGTATGTAATAGCCTCATCCATTTATGTTCTTGAAGCCTGGAAGTCCAGAACATCTTAACAATTGTGCAACAAAATTTGACTAAAGATTGGTAGAGCTATGAATACTAATGCTGCTACAAATATATAAAATACTCTGTTAAATACCTTACTGAAAAAGGGATTAAATGTAAGATGTCTTTTCCATATCTGCATGTTATGCTGAAATGACTATTTTGTCATCTGGAGAGAATTATATGCAATGATTTCACAGTGAGGAAACAAACTCATGATTCAATGAAAGGGTAAGGTAGATGTGAATCATAATCACTTTAAATTATAGTTATTAAAATTCTATAAATTTAAAACACTTTAGTTTTATAAAGCTTGGGCAATGAGTCCATTCCAAGCAGCATTGACCAAATAGTATTATTTTCAGGATGTTCTAAGTATACCAGGTTACATCTGACCATAAAATGTTTCTCTATTACATGTGCCCATTTATTTGTTCTACTGTTCATTCAGGAACTATGCTGACTCTCGAGGCAAAGATAAATACCACAGGCTGGGCATGGTGGCTCACACCTGTAATCCTAGCACTTTGGGAGGCTGAGGTAAGAGGATTGCTTGAGGCTAGGAGTTTGAGGCCAGCCTAGGCAATATAGTGAGACCGTTGTCAATACAAAACATTGTTTTAAAATTAACCAGGTGTGGTGGTGTAGTCTCAGCTACTCAGGAGGGACGCTGAGGAGGGAGGATCCCTTGAGCGCAGGAGGTCGAGGCTACAGTAAACCATGCACTCCAGCCTAGGTGACAGAGTGAGACTTTGTCTCTAAAAAAGTTAATAATAATAATAATAAAATACCACAGTGATGTGTAAATAAGTAATTATGTTGTGATATATAACAATAGAAGTACGTACAAGGCACAAGGAAGGATCGAAAAATAAACCCGGCCTATAGTCTTCACTGAGGTGTTGATTCTTCCTTAAACAGCATCTTGAAGGATAAATATGAGGATAACAGTGGACATGTAGGAAGGGTGAGCAGGGGATAATAGTTTAGACAGAGGGAGCTGCACGTGTAAAGATATGGAGGCATGAAATAGCTTAAGTTAAAAGAATTGCAAGTATTTTTGTGTTTATAGAACCTAACGTTGAAAAGTTATGGTGGGAGATGAAGCTAGGCAAACAGGGGACAGATAATGAAGGATCTTCAATAATCCTATAAGTCCCATTAGTGTATAATCCTATAAGTCCTTTGGGCATATACCCAAAGGAAAATAAATAATTCTACCAAAATAAGACACCTGCATTTGTTATGTTCATTGTAGTGCTAGTCACAGTAGCAAATACATAAAACCAACCCAAGTACCCATGAACAATGAATCAGATACAGAAAATGTGGTATATCTACACCATGGAGTATTATACCATAGAAAAGAACACAGTCATGTTCTTTGCAGCAACATGGATGCAAAAATTCTAAGCAAATTAACTCAGGAACAGAAAACCAAATACTGTATATTCTCACTTACAAATGAGAGCTAAACATTGGGTACACAAGGACACAAAGAAGGGAAAATAAACACTGGGGATTCCAAAAGTGGGGAGGAATGGGGAGAGACAAGGGTTGAAAAACTATCCATTACTACATTCACTACTTGGCCACTAGGATCATTAGACGCCCAAATCTCAGCATCACGCAATATACCCATATAAGAAATCTGCACATGTACCCCCCAGTCTAAAATAAAAAAGAAAGAAAAAGGCCAGGCACGGTGGCTCATGCCTGTAATCCCAGCACGTTGGGAGGCCGAGGCGGGTGGATCACAGGGTCAGGAGTTCAAGACCAGCCTGACCAACATGGTGAAACCCCCATCTCTACTAAAAATACAAAAATTAGCCGGGCATAGTAGTGGGCGCCTGTAGTCCCAGCCACTCAGTAGGGTGAGGTAGGAGAATCACTTGAACCCAGGAGGTAGAGGTTGCAGTGAACCGAGATCACACCACTGCACTCCAGGCTGGGTGACAGAGCGAGACTCCATCTCAAAAAAAAAAAAAAAAAAAAAAAAAAAGAAAGAAAGAAAATAATCATACTATATGGGCATGATTTAATGGACGTGAAAAAGATAGCAAAGAATTTTAGACAAAAGCATATAGCAAGAGAGTATTTACCCGTTGGAAAAATGACTCTGAAGGTAGTGTGGAGAAAGATTTGGAAGAGAAAAGATACAGAGTATAGGTGAGAATTAACAAAGACATGTAAATAGAAATGAAAAGATGAGAAAATAGGTGAGAAATATCTAGGTGATGGAACCACAGAAATTAAAATAAATTGGACGTGAAGGGTAATGTGAGGACGTAGACAACTGGGTGATCATCAAGCCAAAAACCAAAATAGGAAATACAGAAAGAATGCATTTAGTGGAAATATTAAATATAAGCTCAGTTTCAACAAGACGTCATTTGAATTGTCAGTGAATTAGGCGGGTAGAGCTATAGTACAGGCAATGGTGTACGTAGAAGAGGCCAGGGCTGGCTATACTAATTGAAGTCATTGATTATACAGTGGTAATGACAACTATGAGAGTGAATGAGATTGCCCAATAGGAAAAGGAAATGCTGAAGAAGTATCACATGTACGTATGGAGTTTCATTGGTAGCTATCACAACTTTGTTGAAATAATTATTGGCGTGTTTTCTCATTCATGCCTAGGAAGGTGCATCATGATGTGGTAGAAGGAATGATGGGCTGGAAAGCAGGAGACGGCCTGCAATCCTGGTCTCTTGGAAGTCCTTGCATGTTGTTGGGCAAGTCATTTAACCATTCTCTTCCTCGGTTACTTTACCTGTGAAATGAGATTGGATTAAATGAGTTCTAACACTCTGTGATTCTTCAACCAATTCTCCAAATCTCATGATTTTCATTTCTCCCTAATGGGCTCTGATGAAGCTGCCAATGAAACCTGAAATAACTGGGATATCGGCATTGAGACAGAAATGTGGCCTAGGAAGAGTCACACACCTTATAATTTTCCCCTAAATAATGGAAACCTGACTTTGAAAATAATGTTGCTGTAATTGGGGAGCAGTTATTATAGCCTCTTATGAAAATGTAGGGCTTTTTATTGAAAGGGAATGATAGTTGGTCACCAATATTTGGGTTTTGATTGCCTTTTGTCTCCAAATTTTTGGAAAATAAGATTGACCCATTTAAAAGCCACCTACTTACAGCTTCAGTGCAGTAGAAATTATGTAATAGATCTGATCATATTTGTCCCTTCTGGCCAATTATGACTGCCTACAAGTAATACAGGAATGGAAAACATTTTTGGTAATTATATTGCATTAAAATTGTGTGTCATTATGAGAGTAGGCAGTTCAGATAATTGTGCAGGAAGATGTTACAGATAGATGCTGAGCTGGCCCCAAACTCAATACACGAAAAGGTTTTCCTTTGGGTTCCTGAAAATGTGAAGTACAGTGAGCTGTGAGCACCAAGGAATCAAAGACTAGTTTCAACTGACAAAGCAAACATCTGTGAAAGATACACACTAGCTGTGTTGTAGTAAATTAATGGAACAGGTTTTGTGAAATTATGTCGTAGTTTTGATTGAGCTCCAGTCCAGCAGTGCCCTTACACTTAGCCTCTGACAGAATTATTCTTTGACTGTCAGGAAGAATATCTTATTGTAAGAAGCCCTGAGCACACTGTGGCTTACAGCAATCAGGGCACCAAAAACTTCAGAACATAGAGCTTTGCAGTGCGAAGATAAACCTGGACCAAAAGGAGTATGATCTGTTAAACCTAATCAGAGTTTGCAAAAATATTTAAAAATCAAGAGAAAAATAAAAGGACAGACAGTTAATAAGCAGATATTAAGACATATGAAATGACAACAATTAAAAGATAGAATGGAAAGACTACAAAAGCCATAAAAACAGTATAATATCTAGGAATAAACATAACAAAAATGTACAAGACCTACAGGAAAAAAAACTTTAAAATGTTACTGTAAGATTTGAAAGAAGATTTTGGACAAATGAAAGGCTCTATCTTGGAAAGAGATCCAATACATTATTAAGTGAAATAAGGGACAGAACAGTATGTAAAGTATCCTACTTTTCATATAAAAACAAGGAGAAAGAAAGAATCTACATTTCTATTTACTCGTGTATAAAGAAACTCTGGGAAAATATATAAGAAATTACCTATGAGGGGTGTGGGAAATTAGTAGATAAGAGATCAAAATGGGAGATTGAATTTGCACACTGATTATCCAGAGCACTTCCTTGTTTGATTTTACAGCTATAGCAATCCATGATATGGTTGTGCTATAATTTGTTTAATTCAGACTTCTGTTGATCATATTTCGGTTGTTTCCAGTCATTTGCTAGTATAACCAATCCTGCAGTTAACCATGTAAAGGTTACCTCTTCAGAAAACTGAATTTTAAACATAAGTAAAACTTTCAGTAACAACAACAACAACAACAAATCCAGAGATAAAAAGCAAATACTTTCAAATGAAAGCTCTCACTTAAGTATAGACAGTAAAGGTGAAAATACGAATGATATTGCCCGGATGCTGGGGCTCACACCTGTAATCCCAACACTTTGGGAAGCCGAGGCCAGAGAATCACCTGAACCCAGGAGTTTGAGACTAGCCTGGGCAACATAGTGAGACTCCATCTGTTAAAAAAAATAATAATAAAATGTAAGTTAATTAATTAATTAATTAAAATATAAATAATATAAACAGTGGAAGTCTTAGACATGGCCAAGTCCAAGGCCAGGCATGGTGGCTCAAACCTGTAATCCCAGCACTTTGGGAGGCCGAGGTGGGCGGATCATTTGACGTAAGGAGTTCAAGACTACTCTGGCCAATATGGCAAAACCCAATCTCTACTAAAAACACAAAAATTAGCCAGGTGTGGTGACTTGCGCCTGTAGTCCCAGGTACTTGGGAGGCTGAGGCAGGAGAACTGCTTTAACCTAGGAGGCGGAGGTTGCAGTAAGCTGAGATCACACCATTGCACTCCAACCTGGGCAACAGAGCAAGACTGTATCAAAAATTAAAAAAAAAAAAAATGTGGTCAAGTCCAGGATGAATAGTTGACATTCTCACTCTCCTTCCCATCCCCACACCATAATCCAAATGCATGCTTCTGGGGCTCCAGCTGTCTTACTTAAGTTTAAGTATGAAGAAGCATTCAGACCAGATGCAGTAGCTCATGTCTGTAATCCCAGCACTTTCCGGGCCCAACACAAAAGGATCTGAGGTTGGAGAGTCACTTGAGGCCAGGAATTGGAGACCAGCCTGAGCAACATAGTAAGACCTTGTCTCCAAAAAACCTTTTTTTTTTTTTTTTTTCAATTAGCTGGGTGTGGTAGTATGTGCCTGTAGTCTTAGTTACTCGGGAACCTAATGGGAGAGAATCGCTTGAGCCCAGGAGTTTGAGGCTACGGTGAGCTATGATTGTGCCACTGCACTCCAGCCTGGGTAATAGAGCAAGACCCTTTTTCTTAAGAAAAAGAAGCAGCAGCAGCATCTGTATATCACCCATGTTCCATGCATTAGAAAGCCTTCTGTGTAGATGTAGACTCATGCCAAATGATTTTATCCATGCAAATAGGTACCGGTATAGGGATCAAAAGTTGTCCTAGTTAATCGATTATCATTAGTCTCCCACAGTATTTCCTGCCACAGATGTTACTTTTCTAGACTGGCAGGTGTGGCAAGGTAATTCATTAAAACATGAATTTGTGTTGGTTCTCTCTATAGTTTTAACCTCCTCAATTTTGGGGAGATAAGTCAGTTTTTGTCTCCTTGTCTCAGAGGTAATTGTAGCCTAGCAGAAAGTAGGAGCTTCCTGAAGAAAGGCACTCCATTTGATTTGTAAAAACCTCAACTCATAGAAGAGATGGCAATAAATGATCTGAATGAAGGAGAGTGCCTTTGAAAGTGGCAAGATGGGAAACGGGTTACTTTCTCCAGTCTGGGCAGTCTATAGAGTTTTAGAGAAGCAGGGACGCAGTTCTGGTCTCTAGGCAGGGTCTCTGAGAGAATGGCTGCATGACTTTGGAGCCCTAAGTGTCAGGATCGTAACCCTGGTCACTTTCATTTCCAGTGAGAGGCCCAAGGTCAGTTGGCAACTGGATTTCTGGGAACCATTCAACAATAAGTATATCTGCAACAACTTCCATGGACTGGAGAATAGAGTTGTTTACTCTTTAAATCAGCTAGAAATGTTTTTAACTGCAACTAATAAAAAAAAAATTGTAAAACCAACATACAGTGGCTTAAACAACGAGGATGTTTCTTTTTCTCTCACAACAGAATTCTGGAGGAAAGTGACTCTGGGAACGGGTCAGTGGCTCGGTGATGTTGGGACCAACAAGTCTGCAATTCTCCTGACCTGTTCTTCACAATTGTAAGATGGCTGCTGCAATTTCAGGCATCGTGTCCATGTTAATGTCAGGAGGAAGAGAGGAAGAGGGAGCACTGGGATGTTGCGTTCATTTGCTTTGGAAAAGCAAAGCCTTTCCAGACAGCCCCGAAACCTGCTTACCTCTCATTGGCCGGCACCATCACTTGACCACTTGTCCACTCCTAGCTGCAAGGAAAGTGGCAAAGTGGAAGGTATTTGAGAACGTCTGCTGGGTTAGCCAAAACAATAGTGACTTCTACACCCAGTTTTCTGGGCACTGCTTAAATATCCTTGATTCCCATGTGAGCAGAGGGAGAGCAAACCTTAATAATGAAAGAGATTCAATTTCCATCACCCAGTGAGACACCATAGGAGTAGAATAAATTTTTAAAGAAAACAAATTGAAAAAAAAAATGCGTTTTTGAAACAACAAAATTAGAAAAGATGAAAGGTGATATTTCCAGCATATCAGTTTGTGGTGGTACATTGATTACCTTATACACAGGCCTCAGTGACTTTCTTCTCCTTACCTAATGAGTCATCTTTAATTAAAGTAAAGAAGCAAGAGCAGCAACAGATGCTTCCTAACAAGAAGTTACCAAATCTGTTCACCACAAACCTGAGAATTCAGCTGTGGACATTTGGACACCGGCAATGAACATGAAACTCAGCTTATGACGCACATTTGGCTAAAGGTCAAGGTGACTTAAAGTTCATCATAGGACCTCTATAATTTGCAAAGCAGGTGGCTGGATAGGGACTCCTTCCTAGTCTCATTTGATTGGATAATGCCTATGTTTTCAGTATCAGAAGTGAGTCTTTCTCTGTTAAATGAAGTCAGTTCCACTAAAATCCTAATCTTGTTTGGCAGGCACTCCATATTTCTTAATTTTTATTCCATGCTGTATATTCTTTTAGACTTGATTTTCACTTTTTTTTTTTCTTTTTTCCTGTAAGTTTATCTTTGTTGTGAAACAAAGTGCCCTGGTTAGAAAGACAGGTTTGTGGGCTGCTGGTGATGGGACAACAGCAGTCCTTCCAAGTCTTCCTCCCATCACTCTGTTAGCTCTGTCTTTGTTTTTAATTAGCATTACACCAATTAATTCTGTTGTCTCTTAACCCTGGTTCTGTACCCCCTTCCTCTTTTCTTTTCCTTACTCCGCTCCTGTTTTCTCTTGTACTGCTTTTCCAAGAACTGTCTTGTCTCCTCATCGGTTGACTGTCTTCTCTTTCCAGAGGGACCATAAAGGTGCCGGCCTAAGGAACCCATAGAACGTGGGAACAGACAAACAAGCTGCTGCCTATTACAGAGATAGATAATTAAGTTCAGACCATTACATGCAATTCATCAGCTTATCTTTTTCAGACTTTATATAAGAAGTCATTTCCCAATGGTCACCACTTGCCAGCTGCAACTTTGATGCATGTTACGAAGTTAGATTAGATTGATGGGGGCCCTTTGAACTCTTACCAGGGAATTATCTTTATAATGCTACGGTTTTCTCTATAGCATGATCATATTGTTAATATTGGTTATAAGGTCATATGGTTAGTATTGGTGGCTCACAGCTGTAATACCAGCACTTTGGGAGGCCGAGGTGGGAGGATCACTTGAGCCCAGGTGTTCAAAACCAGTCCTGGAAACATAGCAAGACCTTATCGCTACAAAAAAATATTAAATAAATAAAAAGATTAGCTGGGCATGGTGGCACATGTCTGTAGTCTTCACTACTTGGGAAACTAAGGTGGGAGGATTCCTTGAGCTTGGGAGGTTGAGACTGCAGTAAGCTGTGGTTGTGCCACGGCACTCCAGCCTGGGTGACAGAGTGAGGCCCTGTCTCAAAAAGAAAAAAGAAAAAAAAAAAGTACCTGTAAGGTCTTTGGGATTTCTAAGATGAAAGGTGTCACATAGTTGAATGAATTCACTTAGAGAGATAGAAGGCAACTACAGGGAATATTACGTACATCATGGAGCTGAAAGCACTAAGGCCTGTGGAGTTATTCTCAGTCACACGTAGTTGAAGGCAGTGGTCCACATGTTTTGAACATGGTTTCTCCCAGGTGAAAAGGATGAGTAATTTGTTCTTCTTCATGTGTGTGTATGTAAGTCTTACACACAGCAGATTTGCCACAAAACAAATGAAGATTACACTTTGGGTCCGTCTCTCACATGAGCCCCTTCCAAAATTCCGTCTGCTAATTTTACATTTTGTAATTTCTTATTATTTTTTTTAAAGAAGGCTCCTCCAATTGCATAAGCTTCAAGCCTCACAAAATTTGGATCCATACCTGAGCCAACATATAATACAATTTTCCATTTCTAACTTCTAGTTGTACCTAGTGTTTTGTTAGAAATGATCAAGTACATGAGTGGTGTCTTTTTCAAAAATTTGCTTTATTTGCTTCTCTAGCTTCATCCTTAGTTATGCAGTTAAATCTAACCATTTGGAGGTATTTTCATATAACTTCCATTGAGGACAATTTGGCTATAGCTTTTAAAATTATATATATATTTGTACAATTGTAAGCTGCCATATCTATAAAACTATTTGATAGACAAAAGTTGAAAACACTCCAAGAGCTCATCAATAAAAGATTAAATTAATTATGATACATCCATATGAACACTAAGCAGCTGTAAAAAAATTGAGAAAGTAATTTATGTGCTGATATGGGAAGACTTCCAAGACATGTTGTTAAGTATAGAATGGTGTATACAGTATGCTATATAGTATGGTAAAATGTTTAGGGATTCGCATTTATATTTATAATTGTTTGTATTTACATAAAGTAATTCTGAAAGGATACAAAGAAACTAACAAAAGAGATTACCTATGGTAGTGTGGGGCTTGGGGATTGGATGGGTGAGAAACAGTAGTGGAAATGTGATATTGTACAGTTTTAGGCATTATACATATATAAAAACATGGGAGTGTATTACCTACTCAAAAAGTAAAATTAACAAAGATACAAGAAACTGTTTGGAGGTTCCTTCCCATTTCATTGTATCTATATTCTTTCAGCCCTCAAAGTCATTATAAATGTCATTATAATAACTTCATCAAGCTTCCCCTATAATGAGAATCTTACCATTCTCCTAACTCCAGTAGCACTGTAATCCACCTCTGTTAGGACACATCACTCTTCATCATGTGTGATTATTATTTGCAGACATCATCTTCAAGGCTGTTCTCTATTTACCACCTGCCATTTTTGTTCTCACCTCTACATGACCTTCACATTTTATTTCTCTCAGTTTTTTTGGACAAGCTACATTCCCTTCCACAGAGAAGACTTCTCTGACCCCTTTCACTTGGTTAGATTACCTTGCTATTCTTTTCTATCTTTCTACATTCCTTTTCAAAATACTTATCTCACTTGTTATTACCTATAATGTCTGTCTTCTTTACTCAAGAGTCTAGACAAAAAGCTCCACGCCAGCCTCGGCTGTGTTTGTATTGTTTACGTCTGTGTTCCTAGTACTTAATAAAATACCTAACAAGGGTTAATAAGTACTTGTTGACTGGAAGGGAATGACTTCCTTCCCTTACGAGGGAGTGATTTCCTTACAGGCAAGATATGTCAACCTTCTATAGCCTACATAAAATAAAGCACAATATCGCCTATTGGATAAAAGACAAAAGTTTACGTATGAGTTTTGCCATTTACCATACCAGTTTGGGGATCTTAACTTTTTAGCCTCTCTGGGCTTCAGGGCTCTCATCTACATTAAGTTTTTAATTCATTCTGTCATTCAATAAATATGTATGGAATGCTTAGCATGTGCCACTAGTGTAGCAACTGTGGATACAGAAGTATGCAAGGCAGAATAGTACTTGCTATCTGAAGCACACAGTCTAATTGGGGTGGGGAAAGAGTTGGTGGGGAGGGTCACAGTAAACACATAAGCCAAACAAACAAAAATTACAGGTAGTGATAAAGGTCATGGCAGAGCAACTGAAGGTGATTAATTCAGAAAGGCCAGGAAGGGACTCTCTGAAGCGATCATATCTGAACTGAGTTTTTGAGTAAACTAAATGAGATAGTGTCTGTGAATGTCTTAGAATCATGTCTGGCATGCAATAAATGTCATAAATGATAAGTATTCTATTCATAAAAACTTGTCAAAAAATGAACCAAAAATACAAGCAGATTGTCTTTCACATATAAAATGCTATAGTTGCAACATTTATATGCATTTGTATAGTGAGAAAGCATATTACATGTATATTATATTTTATTTGAGTAAGTTATTTTTTAACTGAAGGGATCTCCTATTTTGGTTCTGAAATAGTTAATGTTCCTTTTAAGTAGTCTCATTTATACCTTGAGAGTGATTTAATTACCCACAGCATCTGTTTAACATTGTACTCACAGAGAGATCGCAGAAACATATGCAACATTGGTTGTTCATAAGTAGATTCAATGTTCTCTAAGGTCTCAAGAACCTCTGAGTTCTTACATGTTTGTTACATCTGAGCTAACGAAGAAATAGCCAGGGGTAAGGAACTGAGAAAGAGACTATGGATGTCGCAACACAAAAACATTCCAGGATTGTAAAAAATATCTGACAAGTCACATCTTCCCGGTATGGTAGTAAAATAACTGGAGTGTATTGGATGGTATAAGCAACTGAAGAGGGTTAAGAATGGCCTCTGTGGCTGGGCACAGTGGTTCACGCCTGTAATCTCAACACATTGGGAGGCTTAGATGGGAGAATCACTTGAACCCAGGAGTCTGAGACCATCTTGGGCAACATAAAAAGACCCCCATCTCTACAAAAAATTAGAGCCTGGTGGTGTACGTTTGTGGTCCCAGCTTCTAAGGAGGCTGAGGTGGGAGGATTGCTTGAGCCCAGGAGGTTGAGGCTGCAGTGAGCCAAGATCACACCACTGCACTCAAGCCTGGGTGATGGAGCAATACCCACTCAAAAAAAGAAGGAAGGAAGGAAGGAAGGAAGGAAGGAAGGAAGGAAGGAAGGAAGGAAGGAAGGAAGGAAGGAAGGAAGGAAGGAAAAAAAAGTCTCTGTGCCAGGCATTTCTCATTTAATCCCTAAAAAACAAAAAACGTAGACAGTAGGTGGCTGCCTCAAGTTGGATTCTTCAGAAGCTGACCCTTAGACGTGGGAGAGACAAGTGTAAGTTGGGGATAAAAGTCCCTTTTCCAGGTAAAGTCTCTGCCTGGGCTGGGGGATTCTAGGGTAATGTGTAAATTACACATTGAAGTTTGTCCTTGTTTGAGGTTAGGGAATAAGGCTTTCAAACTTCTGCACCAGTCACTCACTGGCTATGACCCCAAGCAGCTCCAGCAGCCCAAGGGCAGTTCCCCAAAGATGGCCACAGATATGGGCTGGGGGAGCAAATGACAGAGGGGCTTCCTGCACAGAAACGATAAAGGAGGCCCAGGGAATCAGGGCAGAGCGCTACCCGTGCTCTACAGCATTCATATCCCCAATTTACATAGGAGAAAATCTGACACTCAGAGAGGTCAAGTACTTCATTAAAGGTAACTATTTAAGGGACAGAGCTTTGATACAAACCCAGACAGGTTGACTCCACAGTTCATGCTCACTCTTCTCTATCAAATGTACCTCCCTTTCCTGACCATCAGTTATATATTCAGGAACATATTCTTTATTTATATAAATAGACATTATTACCTAGCTTCCTGAGGTAGAAGATTCTATCAGGAATTGTAGTGAAGCATTATATTTGGGGATCGCTAGAAAAGCACTGCTTAAAATCAATGTAATGCAAGCTACTTGTGTAATTTAAAATTTACTAGTGCTATCAATAAAAAGGAAAATAAATGGCTGGGCGCGGTGGCTCAAGCCTGTAATCCCAGCACTTTGGGAGGCCGAGACGGGCGGATCACGAGGTCAGGAGATTGAGACCATTCTGGCTAACACGGTGAAACCCCGTCTCTACTAAAAAATACAAAAAACTAGCCGGGCGAGGTGGCGGGCGCCTGTAGTCCCAGCTACTCGGGAGGCTGAGGCAGGAAAATGGTGTAAACCCGGGAGGCGGAGCTTGCAGTGAGCTGAGATCCGGTCACTGCACTCCAGCCTGGGTGACACAGCGAGACTCCGTCTCAAAAAAAAAAAAAAAAAACAGACTCCGTCTGTGCATGAAAATAAACAAGAAACAACCAACACAGCCTCACCAACCAAATCAATAATCATCAAAAAAAAAAAAAAAAAAAAAGAAGGAAAATAAATAAGAGAAATTAAATTCAATAATATATTTCATTTTACCCAACATATCCAAAATATTATTATTTCAACATATAATCAATCAATGTTTTAAAATGTAAAATTTTTTTATACAATGTATTTTTGTGTCCTTTACACTTGTAGCATGTCTCAATTTGGTTGTGAAATATTTATCAAAAATATTGCCAGGTGTGGTGGTTCACAGCTGTAATCCCAGCACTTTGGGAGGTAGGCAGATTACTTGAGATCAGGAGTTGGAGACCAGCCTGGCCAACATGAAACCTCATCTGTATTAAAAATACAAAAATTAGCCAAGCATGGTGGCACATTCCTGTAATTCCAGCTACTTGGGAGGCTGAGGCAGGAGAATTACTTGCACCACGGAGGCAGTGGTAGCAGCGAGCAGAGATCATACCACTGCACTCCAGCCTGGCCAACCGAGCAAGAGTCCATCTCAAAAAAAAAACCTGATGTGAATTTAGATTTCATACGATTTACAGCTGAAAAAGTAGATTCACACAGCCAAGTTAGTCCAAGCACACTTAAAACTTCTATAACTGCATCAAGTATCATTTTTAAAATTTAAAAATATTAAAATTAAATATTAAAAAATTAGTTCCTCAGTCGCACTAGTCATATTTCAAATGCTCGATAGTTTTACAAGGCCGGTGGCTACCACATTGAAGAGTATAGAAAATTTTTCCTATGAAAAGCTGCGAGGATGTGATTCAGTATACCATCAAGAATCAAACCAGTCAACCAATAGGTAAATATTGAATGTCTCTCACCTGTTGTGTGTAGTAGATATAGTGGCAGCTAAAACACCCTTGGCCAGGACCAGTTAGCTATAAGGACTTTGCAATTGGAGTTACATGAAAAGAATAAGAATTGGCCGTGCTCCAGGTGCAGTGGCTCACGCCTGTAATCTCAGCACTTTGGGAGGCCGAGGCGGGTGGATCAGCTGAGGTCAGGAGTTCGAGACTGGCCTGACCAACATGGTGAAAACCCGTCTGTACTTAAAAAATTACAGAAATTAGCCAGGCATGGTGGTGGGCACATGTAGTCCCAGCTATTCTAGAGGCTGAGGCAGGAAAATCGCTTGAAGCAGGGAGGTGAAGGCTGCAGTGAGCGGAGATCATGCCATTGCACCCCAGCCTGGGGGACAAGAGTGAGATTCCATCTCAAAAAAAAAAAAAAAAAAAAATTGGCCATGTTCATAGCTTTGGATCAGAGCTACCCAGGAAGAAGGTAAAATTGGCTTTTATTTGATCTTTGGTAAACAGCCAATTTGCAATACTTGATTTTCATCTCAGTAATACATCCTGGAGGCCTAGTTACCTGGTGCATTTTGTAATCTGGTAAGAAGCTCTGCAGCAAACCCAAGAGCACTGATAAGTGGCCACTTTAACCCCATAACCTTTCCTGTACACGATGGATAGTACTGGAAGCCCAGCAAGGTGCTAGAATATGAAAGCACTAGAAAAAATCTGTCATCTCTCTAAACGTACATGTAGGTTTATGCTCAAAAGAAATGAGTACATTTCCAAAAGGCAAGTTCAGAATGTTCGTGATAGAACTATTGTTAGCCAAAAACTAGACATTATTCCAACACAAATCGAGAGTAGAATTCTTTAATAAACAGTGGGATTTTCTGGACTATTCATGCTGTGAAATACCATTCAGTGGTGAGAATGAAATACGTACTGCTATATCCAGTAATATGGATGAATCTCACAAACATTATAATGAGTAAAAAAAGTCAAATACAAAAAACAACAAAATGTAGAATTCTATTTGTACACTGTTTAAAAACAGGGAAAGTGAATGTTTTATTTTAGGAGTCAGGAGAGTCATTATCCCTGGCAGAGAATGGGGGGTAATGATTAGAAAGTGGCATAGCAAGGGCTCCCAAGGTATTGGTAATGCTCTGTTTTGTAATCTGAATGCCAGTTATACAGATGTTCACTTAATGGAAATACTTACTGTCCACATACTTTTCTGTATGTGTCATACTTTTAAAAAATATATTTAAGCAATGAATTCATTCATCCATTCATTCACTCATGTATTAATTCTCCTGAAGACAAAGAGAGTTCTCTATTCTAGAACTCTAAAGGTAAGCTAGGCATGTAAGAAAGTCAAAGTCATCATTCTATGCTGTGATTCCACCTTCTGAAAATTCAAACTTCCTTCTTGGAGGCAGAGGAAGGAAAACCAAGCAGATCACAGAGCTGGAGACTCCATGAGAATAGGAGGTGGTAAAAAAAAGAACTTTTGTGCTTATTGAGGTTCCTTTGCCTGGCCTGGCCTCCCCTCACCTCTGCCTAATGAAATACTAACCTCCTTCAAGTTCCATTCATGACGACTTCTTCTCAAACAAAAATTACCTTGCCTTCTTCTAAATTTTGAGGACATTTGTCTGTGCTACTCCTAGTTTATTTCCATGCATTATAATAATTTCTAGAAAGCAGTGCAATGTTGTGTTCAAAAGCTTGGGCTGCAGAGTTCAAGCAGGGTTCAAGACCTTCTTCCATCACTTGCTGTGTGACCTGGAGCAAATTGCTTAATCACTATGCATTTGTTTCCTCAGTTGTAAAATGAAGGTGATAATAGCTGGACCTATCTAACAAGCTGTTATGGAGATGAAAAGAGATAATGGATGTACAGCTGCTGGAAATCAGTAAAATCTCAGGAAATGTTTCCTATTATTATTGAGTACTATCTTCTCTAGCATATAATAGCTTCCTGAAGAATATGGAACATGACTCAGAGAATTTACAGTGAATAAACTCATTACAGACATCTCATGTTGGCTTGCCTTACATGTAGTCATGTTCTTTTTTTCTCATCCACTAGCTTAAACTCCTCCAGAACAGGAGCTACAACTTATTCATTGTAATATTCCTCACACAGAATAACACTGGGTTTTAGGCTACATAGATGGGTTATAATCTCATTTTATTAATGAGTTGAATCCACTGAGGAAGACTTGCCCTTTCTCGTTTGGCATTGCTCAAAGCAAACCAAAGATAACTTCTATAAACTCCACCTGTGAATTCTCTTACCTCTAGGGTGACCAACCATTCTAGTTCATGAAGGGCTGTCCTAGTTTTGGCACTGAAAGTCCCATGATTCTGGAAACCTCTCAGTCCTAGACAAACCAGACCTGTTGATCTCCCTACCTGCCTCTGTGTTCATATGCTCAGGCTAGCTTGTTTGTTTGTTTGTTCATTTGTTTGTTTGTTTGAGATGGAGTTTTGCTCTTGTTGCCCAGGCTGCAGTGCAATGGCGCGACCTCGGCTCACTGCAACCTCCGCCTCCCAGGTTCAAGTGATTCTCCTGCCTCAGCCTCCTGAGTAGCTGGGATTACAGGCACCTGCCAACACGCCTAGCTAATTTTTGTATTTTTAGTAGAGACAGGGTTTCACCATGTTGGCCAGACTGGTCCTGAACTCCTGACCTCAGGCGATCCACGCACCTCTGCCTCCCAAAGTGTTTGGATTCCAGGCGTGAGCCACTGCACCCGGCTGCTTGTTGTTTTTATTGATGAATCATCCTTGCTCCTATCTAAAGCCAAGTCTTCATTCTGGTTGGCATTTTCTCTACTTACTCAAGTACTGGGCTCTTGAAATTCTCCTCCCTCTTTCCTGCACATCAATATTTTTCCTTCTACTGAACCACTTCCATTAGCACACAAACACGCTATAATTTTTCCTACTAAAAAATGCTTTAAGAGGCCTGGTATGTTGGCTCACACCTGTAATCCCAGCACTTTGGGAGACTGAGGTGGGCAGATCTCTTGAGCTCACGAGTTTGAGACCAGCCTAGGCAATAAAGTGAGACCCTGTCTCAACAACAACAACAAAAATAGCCAGGCATGGTGGCTCATGCCTATAGTCCCAGCTACTCAGAAGGCTGAGGTGGGAGGATGGCTTCAGCCTAGGAGGCAGGACTTGCAGTGAGCTGAGATCACGCCACTGTACTCTAGACTGAGCTGTAGAGCCTCACCAAAAAATAAGTAAACAAATAAAAAATAAAAAGCCTTAAAAATTAAAAACATCTGACTTTGTTCCCTGACAAACCTGACAAAAACAAGAAATGGGGAAAGGATTCCCTATTTAATAAATGGTGCTGGGAAAATTGGCCAGCCATAAGTAGAAAGCTGAAACTGGATCCTTTCCTTACTCCTTATACGAAAATTAATTCAAGATGGATTAGAGACTTAAATGTTAGACCTAAAACCATAAAAACTCTAGAAGAAAACCTAGGTAATACCATTCAGGACATAGGCATGGGCAAGGACTTCATGTCTAAAACACCAAAAGCAACGGCAACAAAAGCCAAAATTGACAAATGGGATCTAATTCAACTAAAGAGCTTCTGCACAGCAAAAGAAACTACCATCAGAGTCAACAGGCAACCTACAGAATGGGAGAAAATTTTTGCAATCTACTCATCTGACAAAGGGCTAATATCCAGAACCTACAAAGAACTCAAACAAATTTGCAAGAAAAAAACAAACAACCCCATCAAAAAGTGGGCAAAGGATATGAACAGATACTTTCAAAAGAAGACATTTATACAGCCAACAGACACATGAAAAAATGCTCATCATCACTGGCTATCAGAGAAATGCAAATCAAAACCACAATGAGATACCATCTCACACATGTTAGAATGTCAATCATTAAAAAATCAGGAAACAACAGGTGCTGGAGAGGATGTGGAGAAATAGGAACACTTTTACACTGTTGGTGAGACTGTAAAGTAGTTCAATCATTGTGGAAAACAGTGTGGCAATTCCTCAAGGATCTAGAACTAGAAATACCAATTGACCCAACCATCCCATTACTGGGCATTTACCCAAAGGATTATAAGTCTTACCGCTATAAAGACACATGCACATGTATGTATATTGCGGCACTATTCACAATAATAAGGACTTGGAATCCACCCAAATGCCCATCAGTGACAGACTGGATGAAGAAAATGTGGCACATATACACCATGGAATACTATGCAGCCATAAAAAAAGGATGAGTTCGTGTCCTTTGTAGGGACATGGATGCAGCTGGAAACCATCATTCTCAGCAAACTATTGCAAGAACAGAAAACCAAACACTGCATGTTCTCACTCATAGGTGGGAACTGAACAATGAGATCGCTTGGACACAGGAAGTGGAACATCACACATCAGGGCCTACTGTGGGGAGGGGGGAGGAGGCAGGGATAGCATTAGGAGATATACCTAATGTAAATGACGAGTTAATGGGTGCAGCACACCAACATGGCACAAGTATACATATGTAACAAACCTGCACGTTGTGCACACGTACCCTAGGACTTAAAGTATAATTAAAAAAAAATTAAAAACATCTGAACTTGTTTCCAGACACAGGTAAAAAATAATAATAATAATAATAAATTAAAAACAACTACAAAATGTCCCAAGCCTACATCTCCTTCAAGCTACCACCCCAATTCTTGGCTCCCCTTTATAACAAAACTCCTTAAATGAATTCTCTATACACGGTCTCCACTTCCAATTCCCCTTTTCTCATTATTTGTTGAACAACTTCAATCAAGTTTTTATTCTCAGCTCCCCACAGAAATAGGTCTTGTCACAATTTGCCAATGATCTGGAATTTTCCTAGACTATGGAATTACGAGAAATAAACTTCTATTGTAATAAACCATTGTATTTTATTGTTACTGTTTGAATCACGGAAGTCAATCTTAGCTTAAGTAGTAGAACTAAGAACAACCATATTTATGTATCTTTAATGTATATGCCTCCCTCCACTTCACACTTGTATTGCCAACTGTCTACTGCACAACCAATGGAATGTGCAGTACGCATCTCACACTTAACATGTAAATACTAAACTTGTCATTTCCTCCCCTGAGTAGCCTTCTCTATCAGAAAACATTTCACGCTTCTTCCTGCTCGGAGCTGAAGCCTTGGGGTCATCCCTGATACCTCTCTTGTTCCCACATGCCACAGCCAATCCACCAGGAAAGGCAATTATCATCTCTCACCAGATTATTGCTATAGCTTTCTGACTGGTCTTGCTGCTTCCTCCCTGGCCCTGCCATATCCTATTCCCAACACAGAAACCACAACAATCCTCTAAGAATACAGGTCAGAGTAAGTCACTGTTCTGCACAAAACTTCCACCAGGCTTCTCATCTCATTCAGAGTCAAATCCGGAGCCCTTACCTTGACCTACACAGCCAGATGCTTTGTTCTGTTACCTGTCTGATCCCATCTCTGGCTTCCTCCCTCCTCCTTCACTCCCCGAGACAAGCTGGTCCCCTCCTTGGTCTTCCTTAAACATCACAGCCACTCCCCGCTCCGTGAACTCCACACTCAGGACCAAGCACTGGCTGTTCCTCCTGCCCAGAAGCTTCTCCCCTAGAGAGTGATATGACTCACTTCTACACATTCTCAGTCTCTCCTCAAATTTTAAACTTTTTGTTTTTCATTTTAAATCATTCTTGTGTTGATCTAAGAAATACTTTCCATGCAATAGATACTATATTGGAAACTTCAAGATGAACATGAAATGGCCTCTGCCCTCAATAAACTGCTAAATTGGACTAGAGAACTGGCTTTCCAGGAAGGTTTCCTAGAAGAAGCAGGCCTGGAACTGAAGCTTGAAGGAAAAAAATGAGTTAACTGGGAGTGGGAAGGGAGGAGTGGCAAGGCAAGTACCTCTTAGAGAGAGAGCAATAGAGTATATGTGTGGATATGACAGAGTATGACATATTAGGAGGCTGCAAGATTAGCCTTATCTGCCCCCAGAACCTGGTCATGTGCTATGACATGAGCACCAGAGATAACTCACTGAACCGCAGGGGATGGGAGGGAGAGGAAAGAATCACCCTAGAGGCAAGTCTGACGTCAGACTACCTCTAGAGTGGTGCAAGAGAGGAAGCCAACAGCAGCACACAGATATGGAAACTGCTGGAAACTGCAGAGCACTGCTAGTGACAAGCAGGGACACTCAGATAAACAATTAGGATGAGAAGCCTGTTAGGAAGAAGGAAAGACGGCTCAACATATGAGCAGAATTCAAGAACATGAATTCCTTGGAGATGCAAGGTTCAGAGACAATAATATTCTGTTACACTGACAGCCCTCGATGAACGATTTTTTCTGGTATTCATGCCCTTGCCAAGCCTCTCCCTGGAATCTGGTCCGAACCTGTGACTTACTTTAACCCGGTGGCTGTCAACCAGGGGAGATTGTGTTCTCCAGGGGACATTTGGCAATGTTTAGAAACACTTTTATTTGCCCCAAATGGGGAATATGGAGAAAGGATGCTACTAGCATTCCTGCTGTACTAGTGGGTAGCAGCCAGGGATGCTACTAAACATTCTACAATGCACAGGACAATCCCCCACAACAACAACAAAATTATCTTGACAAAAATGTCTATAGTGTCAAGGTTGAAAAGTCAATAGAATGCAGCTTAAGCTTTAAGACCTTATGCCCTTAAAAGGACTAAGCTTTAAAAAGCCTAGAAGCTTCCACTTTTGCACTCCTGAAAAGGAGGATAGCCAGACTTTTTACATGGCAGCTCAGGGTTGCATGGAGACACCACATGAGAGGCCACGTGGAAAGGGAGCAGTCTTAAGGCTGGGTACATGCAGGAGTGCTGAGAACACAGCTGACGGAAAGAACCAAGGCACCAGATGTACCATTCCAGGCAAGCTCTTCCAGCCTGTCTCAAACCATTTGAGCCATCTTTGCTGAGGTGACAGACATGAGCCAAGAAGCCATCATGGATGTTTCAGCATGCACAGTCATCACAGAGAGCAGGGACAAGTTGTCCCTGCTGAGCCCTGCCCAAATGGAAGAATCACGAGCAAGTAAATAAGATATTGATTTAAGTCTAGATGTTTTGGAAGAGTTGGTTACACAGCAATAGATAAATGAAACAATAGTCAACATAATAGGCATGTTTCTAAGCACATTCTAACGACATCCTTATGAAATAAGATCTGTTATTACCAATGCCACTTTAACTATGAGAAAGCGGCCGGGCGCGGTGGCTCAAGCCTGTAATCCCAGCACTTTGGGAGGCCGAGATGGGCGGATCACAAGGTCAGGAGATCGAGACCATCCTGGCTAACATGGTGAAACCCCGTCTCTACTAAAAAAATACAAAAAACTAGCCGGGCGAGGTGGCGGGCGCCTGTAGTCCCAGCTACTCCGGAGGCTGAGGCAGGAGAATGGCATAAACCTGGGAGGCGGAGCTTGCAGTGAGCTGAGATCCGGCCACTGCACTCCAGTCTGGGTGACAGAGTGAGACTCCGTCTCAAAAAAAAATAAAATAAAATAAAATAAAAAAAATAAAAAAATAAAAATAAAAATAAAATAAAAAAATAATAAAAAAATAACTATGAGAAAGCTAGTACATGAGTACAGAGAAGTTAAGTACCTACATGGGCCAGCACTACTAGGAACAGAGTTTGGCTTTGATCCCAGATAGCGTGACACCAGAGACTGTATCTTAACCACCGTGCCACAGATCCTGTCTAGTCATTCATTCATTCAAAAGTATATATGGAGAACCCACCATGTGCCAGACACTATTCCATGCATATGGGATAGAGCAGGGACCAAAACAGACAAAAATTCCTGGTCTCACAAAATTTGAGTTCTAGTGAACGTAACCACCCCAGGGGTTTATTTTGCCTGCTGCTCAGATAGAGCTGATTTATCACTACAGGGAGATTGCAATAGAGAAAGAGATTAATATATGTAGAGTTGGCTAAATAGTAGTTCTATTATTACTCGAATCAGCCTCCCTGAAAATTCAGAGGCTAGGGTTTTCTAATGACAGGTTAGCAGGCAGAGGGTTAAGCAATGGATGCTGCCGAGTTGTTGAGTGTGCAATCAGGGGAGTGGAAAACAGCCCTTTTGTGCTGAGTCCTCTTCTATGTGGGGGTCATAAGGCCAGGTGAGTCAAGATCCCAGGTCAAGGCAGAGTTGTTCAGGCCACAGCAATGTAAAAGTCTGAAAAGACACTTTAAAAGACTTTTTTTTTTTTCTCTTGAGACAGAGTCTCACACTGTTGCTCATGCTGGAGTGCAATGGTGCAATCTTGGCTCACTGCAGCCTTGACCTTCTGGGCTCAAGCAATAAAAAGGCCAATCTTAGGTTTTATAATAGTGATGTTATTTACAGGAGTAATTGGGGAAGTTATAAATCTTGTGATTCCAGAACAATGAATGATTGTTGTTTAACTATGCTTACATATTAGCAGAATTCAGGTTCTTCTCATGATCCTAAACTTGCAAACTTTTATTAGTTTTCTAAAGGTGGTTTAGTTTTGGGAAGGGCTATTATCATCCTTGATTTAAGGTTAAATTATAATCTAAATTTCTCCCAAAGTTAGCTTGGCCCATGCCCAGGAATGACCAAGGGTCAGTTTGGAGGTTAAAGGTAAGATGGAGTTGGTTAGGTCAAATCTCTTTCACTGTCATAATTTTCTTACTGCTACAATTTTTACAAAGACAGTTTCAATCCTCCCTTTGGGTTTTACCATGTCTTATTTTTAAGGTGTGATCTTTGAAGATGGAAAAAGTCTGATGATTGCTCTACCTTTTTTATGCTGACAGAGGGCAAAGTTGGAATAGGGCTTGGCCCCAAGGTAGGAGGAATGAAGCCACTTTACAGCTGTCTATATGTATTCATGGGGACCTTATTGGGGTTTTAAGGCTTGTATGACAAAGAGGTTAGTATTCTCATCCATAGTTTTAGTACAGCATTTAAGTGAACAGTAGACTGTAAGATAATCAGTCCTAACATATGGAGTGAAAGTCCTAGCTTTAGACATTCTCATACAATTGATCTGAAGCCCTGAGCGACCCAAGTGAATAGCCCTGAGAACCAATTATATATGGGGTTGTTAGAAAGATGAACTGGGATAAACAGGAAAGAGCAAATTTAATTATTCCGGTCCATATATTTTGTAGTCATTGTTTGGCCTGAGAATAGATCAGTTTAGTTAAACAGCTATGTTCCATTCCAGGAGGTGGCCTTGTAGATGGGGTAGGGCCTCTATATGTGATGAAGGCAAACACATGTTTATATATTTTTTGAGACAGAGCCTTACCCTGTCACCCATACTGGAGTGCAGTGGCATGATCATGGCTCACTGCAGCCTTGACCTGCTGAACTCAAGTGATCTTCCAATCTCAGCCTCCTGAGTAGCTGGGACTACAGGAACATGTCACCGCACTCAGCTATTTATTACTATTTTTTAAATTTTGTAGACACAGAGTCTTGCTATGCTTCCCAGGATGGTTTTGAACTCCTGGTCTCAGGAGTTCCTCCCACCTCGGCCTCCCAAAGTGCTGGGATAACAGGCATGAGTCAGTATGCCGAGACCAAATTTTAAATGAGATATTTTTATGGCAACAGAAAAAAACGAAAAGTTAATGTTGGACACAATCTATTCAGATGTTAGACTCAAAGCATCTCTAGTTAGAGAGAAGGAAGGACATGGCATTGCAGGCTTTTCTTGCCTATATTACAAGGAATGAGCTTTAGCTTATAGGGCTTCAGGAAAAAGGTAGTAGCAATTTTATTGGGTCTATGTCTGAAAAATGGAAGACACAGAAGGAGTAAGACTGAAAAAGAAAACAAATTTTAAAGGAATTTTAAAAAAGAAAAAAATGGAAGATAAAAAAATTTTAAAGCACTAATTTGGGAACTTGTAGCTTGGAAAGAATTCAGGAATTTTTTTTTTTTTTTTTTGAGACAAAGTTTCACGCTTGTTGCCGAGGCTGGAGTGCAATGGCACGATCTCGGCTCACCGTAATCTCCACCTCCCAGGTTCAAGAGATTTTCCTGCCTCAGCCTCCCGAGTAGCTGGGATTATAGGGATGTGCCACCACGCCCGGCTAATTTTTTTTGTATTTTAATAGAGACAGGGTTTCTCCATGTTGGTCAGGCTGGTCTCAAACTTCTGACCTCAGGTGATCCGCCCACCTCGGCCTCCCAAAGTGTTAGGATTACAGGTGTGAGCCACTGCACCCAGCCGAATTCAGGATACTTTAAATCGCAGAAAATAATAAAAACCTCAAAAACAATGGAAAGGACTAGAATCTAACAATAGGTGTATTATGAGTTTTTTTCTGATGCATAATTTTTTTCTGGTCATCATTTTTATTAAAAACGAATCATAGTAGGATAAATTTATTGGCAAAGTAGGTTTTAGTCTGATTATATTTGGTCTGATTATTTGCATAAAGTGTACCAAGAATAATTATTTGCCATATAAGCTTTTTT